GAGCCAATCCTACCAGATGTCAGTCACTCACTGTTCTAATTGGGGAAAGCTGCACATTTTCCTCTTCACGTTCCACGTTTGTCAAACTCACAAACCTGGTGCAACAATAATAACTCTATTGGAATCTCAGGAATCTCTGCTATAATTTCATCACTATAGCAATAATACACCTCAGACAAACTTGATAGGCCCAGTCAGCACATCCATTCGTCGTTGAACATGGAAACTGTCGAACAACAGTCTACCAAATATCTTTCGTCCATAGACCATCGAAGAGGTTTGAAATTCTCTACCAATGGAAGTATTCCCAAGAACTCATGACCTCCAAACGTTCAAAAAAAATCCACCACCTACCTCCTCCTCCTCTCTTTCCTACGTGAGCACGATGTTCCAGGAACACAATAGGAATTTCTTTCGTTCGCCTCACGACATAAAAAATGTATCTAAATCCCCCCTTCCGAATTGAACGCCACTGCGAGATTCTTGAAGTGTAGCTAAAAGCCACTCGATGTTCACCTGGATAATAACGGTATTCTGAAAGATCTTTCCCATCCTGGACAAATTTCCGGAATCTCTGGAATGACTAGTTCCATCAAGAAATTCGAAATAAGTATACTGAAAATAGTCATTCTTCTTCATTTCAAGTTCTTGTTAGTACAGTTGATTGTATTCGAGACAAATGAAACAAAAGATAAAAATACAATACATACATAATTTATTCATGAGCAATTTTCACTTTGTTGGTATATAAAATTATCTTAGATCAATATGACATTACGAATTTCTGCCTGAATGAATAAACACTATGACAATCAAGAACATGAACTCGAATTCCAATAGTCAAACGCATCTCAATATCGAGGGCAGTCCGAAAAAATTTTTCCAGGACTATGTACCCATTATTTGAAATATGTTTCCACCCGAAGTATGTATAATTTCTCGAAAATTATTTGATATAATGCTTTATATCACCGCACTGATTCTTTATATAATTTCTGAAGTTTTCCTTTTCATTTCGTGAACACTCAGCTAGTCAAAAAATCAGATCAGCTGAAGTTTTGATGCGTTAGTGCTCAAGAAGATTACATCTGATGATTCTACATAAGATTATAACAAACCACTTCAATTTGGAAAAGAAGATTGTTACTGTTCAAAAATTATCTATACCAGAACCATGGAAATGCTGTTTTGGTGATCCAATATTGATGAATCATTTGGAGTAATAAGAGAACTTTATATGTTTGTTATGTTTTGTGCTAGAATGCGAGAGGAGTATAGGTTTATTTTGATGCTGAAATTTGAAGCGCAGTGACATTTTGAGATAAATCATCAGATTTGTCTTCAACACAAGTACCTACCTATATCGAAATGATATTGATATCAACTCACAAACAGTGATTCAACAATGATATAACAATTTTCAACTAACAATCATTGGAAAATTCACAATGAGTACTTCTAGGCCTGATGCGTATTATAGCCTTTATATTGGGTATTCTCCACAGATAAGATGATTCGATTGACAATGAGGAAATGCAGAAATATTCGAAAGTCCTATAATAGGTGGTCAATATCAGTGACAGATGAAGGTTGTTGAAGTTGAAGAATACGATACTTCTCCCGGAAATACTAGAACGGTTGTGTTTTTTTTTTCAATTTTGTCATAATTTTTCGTTCATGCACCACAGTTTCCGGCGAGGAATGTGAATCACTTCAATCATTTCATTGACGCGCTACAATGGCCGTGGGCCCACTTTGTACTCACGGCGTCGGGTGAGGGTAGCTTCTGGTGACTCCAGGCGCCTGGTTAAAAACCTCAGGTCCCCACTCTAATCATGGTAGCGTTACATGGAAAAGGCCGCGACATATCTTGTTGACATGGGTACCTGGGGTGATGAGGAAAGCCCTATCAGGATGCACATGCCTCACCAATTGGGTTGGACTCCAGGAGGCTTAGGTTTCCAAAAACATGACCAAACTACGGTGATTGAGGTAAAAAAGAATATCACTATGGGTCGAGTGAAAGAATATCTTGCCTGTCTCGGCGGGTGAGCAGAGTTTCTGATCGGGCACTGGCACTACAGAGCCATGCATCAGTCTGTTGTATCAGACAGCCTCACCATTGGTATGATAGAATGATAGCAGGAGAATATGACGTTACATAACGGAGATGGCTCTAGCGCGCTGATTTGGCGTACCTATCCAAATCTTCCATTACTCCCTGGGGTGCTGGCGATATAAGTCGAGAGACAGGTGACCGGCAGTCATTCATAGGGGAGTCTTGTGCATGAAGATGGGCTTGAACTTGGTCTCACCCTTTGCTACACCTGGCAACATTATTGATTGACGTGCTTCATGGGGTATACTGTTTCCATGTTGTCAGTGCCATAAGCCACTATTATCATTAAATAGAGCTCATCTACGATGATTTGAATTATCAGTTCAATTTCGTTAAAACAATACTTAACCTCCAACAGCTAAATAAGTGTCCCGATTATATTATAATTCAGACCTAATACAGGGTTCGGCATGAAACGGATCGTTTGAGGGTGCCGCTTGCAGAGCTCTATGAAAGTGGTGGGGATGAAAGTCACTGGCATGTCAGGACACGCATGGCTCACCATTTATCAACAATGAATCATTGGACGGGTGAGCAAAACCGCTCCGCAGTTGAAGCCTACTTTCAAAATGAAGTGCCAAACAATTAGAACCTCTGAAAATACAGCGGACGTGTTCGACAAGCGTTATCAAGAAGTCTCCGCGGATCCCAAAGCATATCGTTCCTTCAAACAGGAATATCAGTTGCCTTCCTCGGCCTCCCGATAATACTACCTGCGATTTATTTTTGTGAGGATACCCAAAAACGAAGGTGTTCAAAACTGATTCACCTCCTTCTTCTCGGTATTCTCACAAAATTAAATCGCCACAGGTAGGTCAAAAGTCCGAGGGAACCAACTGATATTTTAATTTCGAGAAACGATACACCCTGGGATCGACGAGGACCTCTTGATATCCCTTGTCGAACACGTTCGATATTTTCAGGAGATCCAATTATTTTGGCACTACACTTTGATACTAGGCTTCAACTGCGTATCTGCGTTGCTCATATGTCCAATGAATCATTGTGAATAAATGGTAGATGGTTTATGTAGGCATCCTTAGGAAACTATATCATTTTCAATAATAATATACCATCAAACACAGTTTTTTGAGCAGTGCGCTCATTTGGTTCTCATTTCCTAAAATATGTAACATATAACGAATTCACAAGGTTGTATGAAATCGTGTATGTCGAAAAAAAATATCTAAAGATGATGAGATGAATCATGGAACATATTGCTGTGGATTGATGTAGAAAGGGCATTGTAACAGAGATTGTAGGAGATAATCTAAATGAACTTTCCACAATGTGTATCGAACTCCTTACCTAAATCAGAATTATATTTTGATTCTCTTGGTATATACATATATATTGAGTCGATGTAACAATATTTTTCTCATCATTGAAGATAATGCATCTGACTTATTACCTAATCCATAATAAAGTCACTGGATGGTATCAGTAGATATAAGAGTTCGGAAACAGCTGAACTTCTGTCCTTTTCTATTTTTTATATATCAATGATTTGGGTGAATGAAGGAATAAGAAATATATTCTGCTCTTTGTCTTTTAGATTTCCCTAAAAGCGCCTGATTGTCAGATTCGATTTCCGAGGGTTAGATTTCTTGTCAAATCAATCATATAGCCTTCGATGGAAAATAGAAATAGGGTAACACCCATTTCAATTTATAGGGATACGGCACTTTTTGTGAAACAACATTCATTAAAATGAAAAAAAAATGCATGACGCAACATTTGAATGATAAAATAGACACATATGGATATACTTCATTATTACCTAGTTCGGTCGGTATTGCAAACGCCATTCAATGATATATCACGTTGCAATTCACTTGATTTCCTCAGTTTCGTTCTCTAACACCAATTTCATTACGTAGTTTTGCAATCGCTCTTCCTCCAAGATAGTTGCGTTTTGCTTCTCGTGTGATAATAATAATGGATCATCTTTTCAAACAGTATGTTTTGTGAATGGGTGGAAAAGCAGATTCTCTCGAACGAATCTTAGAATCCACTGTTCTGAAATATGGTGTCATTCTAATCTGCTGTTATAAAAAGTCAATTTCAAATGTATGTAGGTACCTCACAAATTTGGCTTGTCTTCTGAATAATTTTCTATCCATGCCGCTTCATACATTCCTTCCATTATTAGAGAATGGAGTTCATATTTCCTTTGGCGAATTGAATGAATGGAATCCATTCTCTTCAGAATTCCCACAATTCATTACACAGCAGGACAATTTCATTCATGCTTCCTCCTCAATAGCTTTATGGAATCATCTTCCAATTCTGACGTTCATGATATTTTTTGTCAAATTCAAACAATTTTGCATGAAAAAGAGCGAAACGACTATGGTGCTCTTGTCACAATGCAAGGTGTGTAACTTAATGAATCTAAATATCCAAAACACTAAGAAGTGTCATTCCTGTGTCCGAACTCTCATCTAACTAGTACCATCCACTAACTTCACTCCACAATACCTTTTTGAGAAAAATAATCATAAATGGGTACAAAATAACAGATTAAGCTACTCATGAATACTCATTTTCATCATAGATTGTTCATAATAAGGAAAGTTGATTTTTCCAAATGTTCGTGTCATCAAGGTTCATCTCCTTCATGCCACTTATATTTTTCACTTTCCCGAACCACCCTTGTTCGTACCTAATATTAATAGTGAGAAATCATTTTAATTTTCCTTAAAATTACTCAAATCACAGACTCGTTAATTTCGACATCGGTGAACTCCGTTGTGAGTTCGCTCAACTCCACCAACGACGATCCAGAGATGTCGTCGTCGCTTTGCGACCACTGGCGGACAAGGACTTCACCGTGGAAGAACGGTTGATGGCGGAACAGTTTCCCGCCCTTTTCCTCATTTCAGGTGGCCGTCGTCACTATCCAGCGTTGCGCGTTGTATTTGGTGACGTAGGGGCGATTGGTGAGCCGGGTGGACGACTTCGCGGATCTGCCGTTGTTGCACCTCGACCATCGCGAGAAGGGCCTGACCGATGTAGTTTGAACGTCGCCCGAAGATATACTTTGGCTTTGTCCTGGAAAGATACGAAACAAATTATTATACCTATAACTCAGTGTGCGAAAATGTGAAGTGGTAGTCTCTCTAAAGTACAAATATGGGCTTCTGAAGTGTGGGGTCTCAATATCATCGTTTTTTATACCATCGAAATTCAGATGTTGAATTTGATCACTTCACGTTATGAACAACATGGCAGCTATCCAAAATACGTTTTAGTTCTGTTATATATATTTCAATCCTATTTGATATCGATTATAGATGCGTTTCTCATGTACGATAAACTCTTTTTTCAATTCTACTTATGGTTCACAAATTGTATTTATTGGATCCTATTCTGAATTATTGCTAGGACATAATTTATCGTCAACTATACATAATATATTTGTTCAATAACATTGATGTTATCTGTTACTGACACCTAGATGGGTACCTTGTAGCAAATGCTGTTATACACCTATCAAAACCTATTGAATCGAACACACTATTTTTTTTTATTCTTTGAAAGATGTGACTTCTCGATTACGAGAAAATTATTATGTTCACAGTTTCTTACTTCTTTCATTCTATATAACAACTCTTCTTGGACCCAGAAAATGGAAGAATATGTGATGGGTCAGAGTGAATACTCAATCAATTCGACCATGTATGCGCACGATAGTACTGCAAGTTGCAACTGTAAAAAATATCCTCTTTCATAGCTAACACGATATTTTAGTATATGCTGTGCCGACAAAAAAAAATGCGAAACTAATTTTTGAAATCATACATTGTACCAAATTTGATACTTGAATCATTGTACCCAACGATATCTTCCCTACCTCAAGGAAATGAGTCTGTGTGGGGCAAAGAGAAAATCACGAATGGGGCGAACTGGACTTTAGTTCCAGCATGGAACAAATATACACACTATGCGCCATCATGAAGAAATTCAAGTTGTTGTTCAATTCATTATGAGGCAATATAAAATGTATCATGAGTATAGGTGCATTACATTTTGAATTTTATCAGCATAATATTTCACACTCACTGAGAATCTTGATAGTCTAGTAGGGACTCGTCTTCTACTCACATAACTGAAATGGCAGTTAGCGTATGGATATGTAACGCTTAATGATCGATTAATCACGGATTGGTGATCTGTGAACGTGGAACACAATATTTATGTGATGGAAATTATGCAATCAGAATATGAATACAAACCTGACAAATCGAAAACTTTGATACCTCAACGAATCGAAGAGTTCCTATATATTTAACGTCAGATGAAAACTCCTTATTTACCTACAAAGGTTAGTTGGCAAGCAATTCATAAATCCTAACCTAACCTGGCCAAATCTACAATCAATATCACTCATACGTGTTTCGTTGGAAGGAAGGATTTATGAGTTCGTAGAAAATGTATAGCATGTAACGCGTTTATAAACCTTTCTAGACACTTTTGCTCAAAGTTCATTCAATGCTGAAGGTTGATACATATTTTGAGGAGAATCCATTGAAGAGTCAATCAATCAAGAACCAAAACTCGATCTCAAATACTACAACTAAGAACGTCATGATATATAGGAGTAAGATTTGATTGTTTGCTTCAACAAGAAGGTCACTGATACGATTCTGAATGGAGTTGAAGTATTTTAGCAAAAATAAGCCGGTGGATACTGAAAAAAGTTGTTAGTCTGGAAGGCAATACAAATAAGGCGGGATTTGGTAATAAAGTATTCGTTTTTCATAAATCTGAATTTTACGTCAGTTTCACTGTCATACTGGGTGAATGATATTTATTTCTCCTTTTTGATGGAAATTAGACTGACCTTGCCACGTTTTGTTACATCTCGAATGAAGAAATGACTTTCATACCCACCCAGGTTGTGGAAAACAATAGCAACCACGAAAGACTTTTTTTTTTTTTTGCAGGAAATGTCCATGACATTTTATTTTTCCTATATTCAGACTATGATGACTGCTCAATCAATTTTCTACCAAATATTGTATCAGGAATATTTTTAATTACTATAATGATCAACTTATTGTTGAAAATATCGTGTCCCCACAACATCAGTGGAAAGTACACTAGTATATGGTGTCAACACATATATACTGTGAGAACATGCATGTGTTGTCTCTAATTCATTTGTATGTCTGTACGAAAATCAGGATTTTGTTATGGGGAGTTACCTCGGTCTGGTTATACGGATTGTTCATTAATGATGAATGCTCCAAATGCTTGGTGAGATAGCAAAATATATTTCTGTTCTGGATATCTTCTCATAAGTCTGTCTCTCATGAGTCGGTCTCACATTGTTAATTCAAGTGTTGCCCTTCAGCAATATGACTCGTTCTGGCGGCCTTGTGCCACACAAATTCGTGAACAACAAAGCGACAGAACCACAGATTACCTACTTAAGCTGTGACAGAACTATCAACAGTAATTACGCAAGTTATAATAATGTCAACGAGATGCACGAATCGCCCTCCCACTCGTGAACTCTGTCCACTAGTTAGATTTCTTTAGCGACAAAGACGACTGCTAATTTAGTTCAAATTTAAAAAAAATAAACATCACGAATGTAATTCGGCGTGATTGTTATTTAACTATTCTGCAAAATGCATAGCGAAAACGAACATTTTACAGCCACATACTTTGCATGGTATGTGGCTGTAAAACGACTTTTCGTCGAACAAAACAGCCTACTAGCATCGCAGTCGATGGTCCCTCTTCAAACAAATACCAAACGTGAACAAATTATCGCAGTATAATCTGCTACTAACAAATTATCAGTATGATGCCAAATGATTGGCGGGAATGCAGCAATAAAGTGGAAAAAGAGTAAGTACTTTTTTCCCAGATATATCACATATGTATACACTGTTGATGGCTTTTGTTGTACTATAGTTCCGAAAAATAAGCCAATAACACCGTCTCCGAGAAAGAATTGCAAGTCCTTTTATTTTCCAATGAACAACCACTAAATTTGCAATTTTTCACTATCAAAACACAGATTCAGAATGACAAATATTTGATTACTTCAAAAGGATGATAAAGATGTCTCCAATAAGATACCTGCAACGCAGGTGTCATTCTTGTTGAAAACTCCAAATTTCACGTCGATAATTTTCTGATTTCAATAAAATTCGATATCTTTCCAATATTGATTCGTCCTGTTTCCTCGGGAAAAATACTAGAGTGTTCGTCTTTCTCCGCTACGCGCCGGAAGACAACACAATCTGGAGCTAAAATCTACATATTTTTTCCCTTGTATAATGAATAACTATCTTTCAACCGCCAACCACCATGTCCAAAATATAAAATTTAACAAATCCTGCAGCAGAATTTTCTTCAATCACTGCACAAAGGTGGGATGTAGAATATAATCAAGGCATGTATATATGAATAAATCAAAATTATCCATGAATATTTATTGGTTCCTCATGTGCGGTGATGGGTGCCTTTGCGGTTGGGTGAGCCGTAAATAATAATATACCTAGATAATTCCGATACATTTCGGGTATGCTGGGTCAATCGAACTGCTCCACAATATTCTTGATGTATACAGGGTGTCTGTAAAGCGATGTAGATGGCTCGGCTGTGGACTACTGTGATGAAAACAAGTTGATTTAGGCCATTGGAAGGATGGTCCTGAATATAATATTTCTTGAATATTTCCGAAACGCCCTATGATATGATAATGCGATTCGGTACGAGAACTGAACTTTCCATCGAGCTTTCCATGCCCAATGCAGTGAAAATAAAACCATTCCAAGATTTGCTCTTGTTCCGAATCAATCAGAGATGTATCATTTTCGAGGAAAATCGCTCATAAAATATTGTACCTTCTCAATACATATTCGTTTTATTGTTATTTTTCAGTGTTTCATACAATTTTATTGAAATTGTATAAGCTACTTCGATGGGAATCAACACCCCAGCCTGATAAGAAATTACATAATCCTACAATGACAAGAATTAATTAAGTAACAAGAGCAATCCTTACCATAGGGATAGCTTACATGAAGATGGAAATTTTTTTATAATAACCGTAGAGAATTGAAAAACATGAAAGTTAGTTGTTTTCTAGGGGAATAACCATGAAAACCTCCATAGATGGGCATTATGGTGGATAATATAAAAATCTAAAGAGGCCCCTAACAATTGCGGCACTTCCATGAGCCAGTTGATGACACGATGAAGATGAAGAAATATACTTTTATCAAAAAAGTTATCATCCAGATGCATGATGCATGTCTTTTCTGAAGGATTTGCTATATAGAAACAATCAGCATTTATCGGTTGTCTTTGTCTTTGTCTAGGCGTATTGGCAACGCTGTACGACAAATATTATGATGATCAGACATTTTATGCGATACTCGTGGACAGTAGCGAAACTACCTTAGATTATGACTATTACCAGCAGAGGCAGCACCTGCTGGAGTGATTAATCTATTTGAGAGGAATTTGGTAAGGGGTTTTGAAAACCCTATTCAGAAATCGAATAAATTATTGTTTATGACTGAAATAGGACTCAAGTGATCCATATTCGTTGCATTTTACATAAATAATCACAATATATTATAATTTTCGAATAATATAAATTTTACAGCAACTTTCAATGATTAATTCTCAATTCACTATTGTAGGAAAACTGTTAGTTCAAAAATTTTCAAAAAAATCAGGCATATTTTAATTCTTTGTTAAAAACTGCTGTGAGATTTTGACAAAAATGCATCATACATTTTTTGTGAAAACTAAGAAAAAACTATAAAAAAAGGAGTTTTATTTTTTTTTTCAATAGAAAACCATGATATATGTTTTTTTTCGTAATTTCTGAACTTCCAGTTTTTTTTACGTGGGTTTACATGAACCTTAAGAAATGTGTGTGAAAAATATCAGGCTCTTTTATCTCTACGCCAGTATAGAGGCCGGATGTTAACGTAATTATCGGATAATGGGGCCATACTTGAAGTCAAACGTGCTCCATTATTTCTACGCCGGCAATCAGGCCGGATCCGCAACGGATTCGCTGGATAAGAGTAGTACACATACGATCGAATCTTATGAACACTGATTACTTGGTTTCAGGCCATTGAATAGGTAGGCAATCGGTGTCCTATGTGGCGAGTTGATATTATTACATAACCAACTATTCATTTAAAAAAAATATCACCTGATCTGGAGAAATTGTTACCGAAGGGAGACAGAAATACAATAAACCCAAAGAGAAGAAGATGAATATATACTGGACAATGATATTCTTCTCGCATTAGTCATATTACAGATAGTCCGGCGCATTATATAATGTTATAAAAGTAACTGTTCCAAGTATATATAATAGTATATTATGTAACAATAGTGTTATAAACGCGTAACGAGTATTTTAACCACGAGCGGAGCAGAGGGGAGCGAGTGTTTAATAAACGAGTGTCTAGAAGAGTTTATGAATGCGTTACATACTATGCTTTTTCTACGAACTCCGAAAATTACATTGACATACCTGCTATTCCTGCTAACCTACAACATAATTCGAAAGGAATGGGAATTGAGAACATAATACATGCAACTGCATGCAACCAGCGAGACACGTATAAGTGATAGGTATTGGTTGTAGATGTGTCCAGTCCATTGCTTACCAACCTTTGTTTCACGTTTATTCTCATGCTTAGCGCAGAATGAATAAATTGTTCTTGAAGATGGATGCTTCATTTTTACACTTCTTGGAGATATGCAAGTACCAGAACATTCTCGATCTTCGATTTCACTTTCTTCTACATTTCGCATATATTTTCAATAAAGAATTCTGATACAAACGAATATTGTTTGAATAATTCTGATACAACATTTGAAAATTACAGTTGTCAGTTGATACAATTGACAGGCCAGACATGCCTCAAATTACTAAAGCTGTGTTTAATGAACTGTGTTGCCATGATAATGTGTTTAAGGAATCGTGTTGCCATGGTAACGTGTTTAATATTTTGAATAAATCACAGATCGTCAATTCGTGATTAATCGATCATTTAGCGTGGTACATATCCGTATACGCTAAATGCCATTTTAGTTAGGTGAGTAGAAAAAAGAATTATGTGAGAATTTGATACTAGCATTTTTCCCATGAGAATCAATTTCTCATGAAAATTGCTTACCGTTCCTTGCAGCTCGATAGTTCTTTGTTGAAGCTGTATAGTGCCTCAATAGTAATCTGGGTAGTTCTCTGTTGAAGGCCAGATATATCCAGGGGTTAACACAGCTATTGAGGCTATAGAGAAGCATCAATATTGTAAAAACTGGACCTGAAACAAAGATAAGAGTGAAAATGAATTCGTTATTCTTGCCGTTTCTCGAATATATGTGTTCGATGATTATCATCAAACCATACGATTAGGTGCTTTTTCAGTAATATTGATTGAACTCTGACTGTGTTTGCTTCATTCGAATGGAGAATTTTCTTTATTTCAGTCAATAATATGGATCATTGAAATCAGTACATTGGTTGGTGGAATGAAATGTTGAATAAATACAAGAAGCTCAAAGTCATTTCCAAACATTGTTCATAGAATAACAACAATGGTAGATTTCGGGAAAAAAACAACTGTTATTTTTCCACTTCGAGCATTGCAGCTATTTCGTAGTTGAAATTACGCCAGTCGGGCAACCAGCCACAACCATATGGAGATATTTGTTCTGGAGTGTTTCTTTACTACTTTCCTACTCAGCTGGCGTTGCTCTTATATTGTCTGTGGAGGACGCCTCCGAGGTAATATAATGCCGACTTGATTTTTGTTTGGCTAGACTACGTTTAGTCGGCGGTCTTGAGACTGCTGGCTGGAGACTGCCCTGCACTGATGAGAGTCGAAGAGCTCGAAACCGGCTGTAGGTGTCTAGCGTGGCCTGCCTAAATCGAAATCAATACGCATTCAAGAAAGTATCAATTGTATCAGCATTTGTTTATGCGAGTCGATGCATAGATTCCAGGAGGATGTAATTCAATGTTCTGTGTGGCATTAGCCAGGAAAGTAGTTGTTTTCCTCCCAAAATCTGCCATCAATGTTCATTTCATTAACATTGTGTGGAAATGTTATAACATCCCGGGCATAACAAGATCATGGTCCCTCCCTTTTCCTTCTTCAGTTTCAGAGATGAGTAATCGAAATTTGGAATGACTCATCAGTTTGATAAACGTAATGTTTTGACAAAAATATGTTTGGTCAACTTCTGTTTCCAGCGAAAGTGATAGAAGCTTTCGATTTTCGAAAGAAACACCGAGTATATTATTGCATTTTCGAATCCTGTATCATTTTTTGTATCCAATGATACTACATCTCGACGTGACATTTCAAACTTCAATATTAATTTCAATTTAATTTTTGGCTTTTCATCTGAGTGTGCCATGGCATTTCTCATCAACAGGTGTGAGAATGCTAAAAAGAATTGAATCTTGTCAAAAATTTGAAGTTTGTTGATTTATCACCAGATTAAGTTCATCAAAATAGTTTGGTGTACCAGATGATCCTGATGTTGCACCTGGTACATTGAATATGATACATTACTTGTGAAACTTGGTGTTTTGGTTTGGATGAACTTTCCAATAGTGTTCCAATTATTATATAGAATATAAATATAAGTTTGAATTGCTTAAGGCGTTAAAGGTCTTCGTTAGCCTTGAAAAAATTGGAAATTCGCTTCCGATTCTCGTCCCTAGAGACGCGTAAGCAATCTTTGCGTAACTATTATACTATGTATAGCGCAATATTTATTGTCATGTCCATTGCAAGATAGGATATAAACTTCAAAGCAAGTTTGTTTGGAATCATCTAAAGTTAATCATGGAAACAGAGCTCTCTCAATACAGCCGATGTCATCAGAGCTATTCAGAAACTTCGAGTGTCATTATCAAACAATTTTTAAGTGCATATTCATTTTGCTGAACAAGTTGTGTCATCTCATTTTGAATCGGATGAGATTCTGTGATGACATCATTATAAAGCTGAAATAGGAATTGTTAGATATGAGCAGAACTTCCATTTCAAAACACGGCTCTGTTTCTCGACTGTGAAAATGAAATGAATGGAAGATTACTTGTTCACTGCATGGGGATCGATAATGTAATTCTGTGGAGCAATTTCTTCTGTAAGTATACCTAATGCGGGTTAAGTTCGATAATCTGCTCAGATGTGTTAAAATTGGAATTTCTGTTTTATGTAATGATTCATCATGAAATGGTTGATAAACAAGTCAGCATTATCTTGAACCTAAATCAAATTATATTAGATTAGATAAATCAAAACATATAACGATTCTTTTTCGAACAAGTGATTTCATACAAAATAATATGAAAAACTAATTCTATAAAATATGTATTATAGTAGGAAATGAAACTATCGAAGCAATAAATCAGTTCTATGGATATATATATCAATCACTGGCCTATACAGGGTGTTCATTTCAGGACTTCCCACCCTAATTTTCTCGAAATGTGTGTATGTTTTTGAAAAATCCCGAGACACGTCAACTACATTTTCGAGGGGGACATGGTTCTAAAATATTTTCAGCCCCGCGGCGTTGCCGCTTCTAACGAAAAGAAGCAACAACTTTGTTATTTCAAATGGACCACCCTGCATTTTATTGCATTTTTAGATTCTCCCTGAAAAGCTGATTTCATCAATGTATCACACTTGGGGTCTAGCAGGAATGATTACAGAGATATAGGGTGTTCAAAATCGAGATTTTACAACTTTAGGATTTTTTTGAGTCGAAACTATTCATTATTGGTCAAAACGGCTTTCATGTCCCTATCTCAACTTTTGATTTACTATCTACTGACATTTATTTGAAACAAATACAGGGTGATCAAAAGTCTGAATCTTGAACCACCCTGTATTTGTTTCAAATAAATGTCAGTAGATAGTAAATCAAAAGTTGAGATAGGGACATAAAAGCCGTTTTGACCAATAATGAATAGTTTCGACTCAAAAAAATCCTAAAGTTGTGAAATCTCGATTTTGAACACCCTATATCTCTATAATCATTCCTGCTAGACCCCAAGTGTGATACATTGATGAAATCAGCTTTTCAGGGAGAATCTAAAAATGCAATAAAATGCAGGGTGGTCCATTTGAAATAACAAAGTTGTTGCTTCTTTTCGTTAGAAGCGGCAACGCCGCGGGGCTGAAAATATTTTAGAACCATGTTCCCCTCGAAAATGTAGTTGACGTGTCTCGGGATTTTTCAAAAACATACACACATTTCGAGAAAATTAGGGTGGGAAGTCCTGAAATGAACACCCTGTATATTAATCATCATGCAGTAATATATCGCTGATGAATTCATTATCGCAATATCCACGAACATTTCGTAACAAAAAATTAGGATTTGTATATCGCTATGTCGAAGTTGGAAACCTACACCCCAGAAGTCGGAACATGTGTGGGGAGGATGAGAGCGGAACCTAAAGCTCATAGTGGATTTCGAACCACCTCTAGGTCGCTGCCTTGGTTAAGAAAACACACTTCACGTTTCGAAGTTTCTAAGACTTACTAAAAGTGGTAGAACATTGAGATTTTCCGGATTGAATATTCATTGTGGTAGATAGAGATTTGCGGATTACGCGAAGGTTGGCTACTATTTTGTGAAAATCACGATTTCGCGAACGAAACTTTCTATAGCGCGCTTCGTTCCTGAAGTACAGGGCGAAATCGAGAATGTTGCCTTTTGGGACCCCCCTTGGAATCTTTCTTGATATGTCTGAGCTATCTTTCAACTAAGAGGAAAAGTGAGAACTGTGTCTTGAACATTATTTCTCGTAGAATCCAGTGGCGTGAACACATCTTCAAAATGAGCTGTCATTATTCAGATATAATCAAAAGTTATGCTTTTTAAATGGAACACCCTGTATATTTTTCAGTATTTGAAACATCGATCTATCTGTGAATATATGACACCTATACTTTATCTTGGGTATGTATCTTGTATTTAGATAATTTTTAATTTTATCTCTGAATCTCTCTTCAATACGCCCTGTAATTATGTGGCAACAATATCCACATCGCCAATTTTCATCTGCATTGCTGACGCATGGGGTTGAATATTTTCATCACATGGAGAATGCCATGCCAAAAATTATGAAAATCTATCCCAGCCTACTCTTTCTATGAGCAAAATTATTTTTCTCAAAAGAAACTTCAACGCTTTGTACCAACTCAACGAGATCCCTTTTGACTCTGCCGGTGAACTTGAAGTGGAATTGAGACCATCCAGCTACAGCTAGAATCATAATTCTCACCGATTCCATCAGATCTACACGAGAGAAAACAATTTCAAGATATTTTGTTTGCCTCTCACTACAATGATATATGTATATTGGCGCTCGCACGAGTCTCACTACCACGACTCACTAGACCTTGATCTAGACCATTTTGTTCTAACAACCAAAGAAGTGTTCAGTTTGAAGTTTGATAATGAAGAAAATACTTCTGATCCAAGTTTCCACTACTCTTTTGGCCATTCCTAGTATCTATGTCTAGAATTTTTTTTATGAACTTCAGAACTTGTGTGTGATGAAATGCTCGTGGTGTGAGTCGCCTATAAATATATGATATGTTCGCATTTTTTATGTCAATGTCGGCTATCTGAAGATTCTATTTAAACCCCTGTAGTGGACAAGAGCAATGCTTCTGAGAAGTTGTTGATTTTCAGATATCCTTACTCTCATTTCAGTGATCTTCGACAGTTTTCAAGGTTGCATAACGATAACCATTAATTCCATTCATATCTTTCTCGATCACTTTGTCACAGATTTGCATGTTCTTTTGCAATATTGTTTTGTGAATATTAATGATTCCAACCATGACCAAAAGTTATGCTTTCCTAAATGGAACACCCTGTATATTTTTCAGTATTTGAAACATCGATCTATCTGTGAATATATGACACTTATACTTTATCTTGAGTATGTATCTTGTATGTAGATAATTTTTAATTTTATCTCTGAATTTCTCTTCAATACGCCCTGTATTTATGTGGCAACAATATCCACATCGCCAATTTTCATCTGCATTGCTGACGCATGGGGTTGAATATTTTCATCACATGGAGAATGCGAATTCTCGTTTATTTTGTACGTGTGGAATTGATTGTTCTTTCCTTGATGAAGTACGACGCATTTGTCGATATTGGGAGGTAACAGCCAATTCTCACTGACTAATCGAGGTCTTCTTGAAGGAATTGAAGTTCAACTAAAGCATTTCTATACAGTTCAGTGTCATCGGCATAAAACAACAAGCAGGACTTTATA